CGTGATACACAAATAAAATCCAAGGGGGTCGACCCCTCATATCCCCCCCATTTACGTAAGAGTGTAAATGCAGTGAACTCCACTCCTTCATTTACCAGAAATTCGGCAACGAGCAAAATTGTGAGCTCGATGCCTTTCACCCCATCACGGCGGTCTTAAAATTCCACCACGGCAGTTTCAAAGCCGAGTTTCAAATTCGTACCGATACCACAGCGGCGATTCTTGAGCAATTCCCCCACTCGTCCTCCTCGCGTGTGTTTCTTGTCGTCGTCAAGAAGTACTCGGTCGACGACAGGCATGAAATCAACTTTTATACTGGCTACGAAACGTCCACAGGTGTCGAGGTCGACGAGACAGGTAACCGTTGTAGAAATCGGGTCCCCCGACCGGCTTGTGCCCCTGCACGGCCAAGCGGTTCGCGCGGATCCACCCGTCCCCGCACTTCACCGTCAGCACCTTCTCCTTCCGGAGGTACCGAATGGTTCCGGGCGGAGCAGAGGGGTCTCCACCGGGAGGCTCTCCACCAGAGGGGCACCTCCACGGGATCATTTCCAGCACTTTCACCGGACGATCGTCCCAGGTGGTCGAGAGGGGGAAGAGTTCGTGGAACGCGAGGAACCGACGGTAGATGCTCGCGACGGGTGCACTCCAGTCCAGGACCGCGTCCGAGGCCGTCGGTTTCGGGGCTGCAAATCCAGAGACGAACGTGCTCAAATCCACGGTAGGGGTCAAAACATGCAGGTGCTCACCCTTCCTTTCGCATTTTATGCTCGAGAATTACGGAGAATCGAAGCTCATCTCTATACCACGTCCGAAAGCGTGATGTGCTTGGTTCGGCATCTTTCATTGCCTTCCCATGCAAGAGCGACATCGAGGTCACACTTCATGCACGAATTAGACCTATCAAATGATTTTATCGACAGCAACTCATTATTTACCTTTGCACCCTTTTTTCATCAATTACTGTCACGCACAGAATAAACTGACAATGATTAAAAAACAAAAATTAACCAATTTCTTGTTTCCTCTCGACCAGAATGAAAGGACAGGCAAAACATTTTCCAGGGTTCCACTGGGCCCAGCCGTTTCGAATCGATGGTCTATCGATCTATCATGGTCTATTGATGGCCCGGGAGAAGAATTTCACTCAGGCAGAGGACACGGTTCAGGAACCATTAGGTCATGCGTGGAAAAATTCCTGCCCAGTCCAATTTTTATTTTCTTCTTCACTGCCATACCTTTGGAGGCTCCCGAAGTGGGTTGAGGGACTCGATGAAGCATGTAAAACGGGAGATCGGCGAGAGATCGGAGGAGGAGATCGGCACCGAGAGAAGCAAGCACGGAACCAAGTCCCAGAGTGGTCGCGTCTTCTGGGACCCGGCATTTCTCCTGTAATAAGATGTCCCCGACGTCGAACCTGTAGCAAAGATTTAAAAAAAAAAAAAACACACATCGCCAAAGATGAATTAGTTATTGCAAACGTGCGATGGAGGGATTCGAAGCTCACTCGTGGGGCCGGATGGCCATGATGGTCACACCCGTGATGGGATCCCCGTTCAAGATGGTGTGCGGTATCGGTGCGGCACCTCGGTACTTGGGAAGGAGACTCCCGTGCACGTTCAGTATACCCCTGCTCCAAGCAGACGTTTCCGATACGTAAAACATATCTTCTGGTCTAAGAGATCAAAATTTATGCGTTCCACACACGACAAACTACTTCGCGAACGAAATCTGCTCTTCCCTGTCGATCAATGCAAACCGTAACACTACCAAGGAAAGACATCGATGAGTGACTCGGGGATGAGGTGACCGAAGGAGACGACGACCCCGACGTCGAAGCGTCCCTTGGCCACGTCTGGGGGCCAGGGGTGCACCGTCAGGCCCTCCGACGCTGCGAAGTCCCTTACGGGCAGATGCTTCTTCTTGTTTTCTTTGGTCACCACTTCCAAATGTGATACCACGTCTCTAGAGATCAAATTTTCAGAGTTTGAAGTGTCAAATTGGATGCAGTCTGGTCGGAAGAAATATATCTAATGGCATCAAATGACGGATGGAAAACGTTTTTGTCATCTTGAATCAAATTTTTTCTCGCAAATGTACGCCCCTGCAGTGAGATGACACGAAGAATGTTTTCCTCAGCCAAGGAGGAAAGCGATGAGAAAATTCTGACTGCATGCTCGACGCCAGTAGCAAGGCGATGATACTTGCAAGAGAGTCTTTCTCTTCGCTCTGTTCTCGGCATCCAAAAATCTTTTGCCCAATTGCCTTTCTCACTTTCTTCCCATCGTCTCCAGGCCAATATTTTCAATCCACATTCTCCTTCGATGCTCATAACTGCAGTCATTGTCTCCTATGATAGTCTGCAAGATTGAAAATGGCTTCGCGAACTGCCACAGCAGTCTACCCTGGATTGACTTCTCAAGCGAGATGGTATTCATTCCCAAGCTCTTCACTGACATCGGAGCATTGGTAACGATTTCGATTCATTATCTACTTCATTTTTTCAAGACCTTTCATGGAAAGCAGATGAAATATATTCATGGAGCACACCGAAGACGAACACCGACCTATTGGCATGGAGCTTCTGAAGGCTGACCAGGGAGAAGTAATCCGTGCCGAAGAAGAGCACGCGCCAGGGAGGGAGGTCTCGATCCTTCCTCGTGGAATACGAGGACGACAGGAGCCACACTGCCGTCCTTTCGTTTGGTCTCTTCCTTCTCCTGACTCCGTGGCAGATTGTCCTCATCATTTCTGAAAGGATATAGGGGATTCACTCGGAGAGAACTCAATTTTTGAAAGAAATTAAATTAGACATCAAACTCATAATGGAGGCAGCCTCCAAAATGGACCATGGAGGGGCGATACTGCCTTTCCTGCCATTCTGACAACAGCTCGTCCGGTTTCGATCTCTACATCAGGGCTAAAGTTTGACTCAACGACTTGAATATTTCATCACAGCCACATTTATTCTGAAAAGCTTGAATTCAATTCGACAATAACTACTATACTGCTATCACAACACAGGGTCAAAAATCAGCAAAGTAGGAACCAGATCCTTCAGCCTATAGACAAGAAGAGTCAAAGGGATTGCACGTCTTCGAGTATGCATCGGTTAGGAGGGAATTTACGTCTCCTCGAGCTCGATGAGGACCCCAGCACAGTCTTTGGGATGAAGGAAAACCACAGGTTTCCCATGTGCACCAGTCTTGGGTTCGTCGGCCAAGCAGCGGATTCCGTGCTCCTTCATCGTCTTCATGGCCGCCTTGATGTCGTTCACCTCCAAGCAGATGTGGTGCATCCCTCCTGCCTTGTTCTTGTCCAGGAATCCCTGGGGAAAAGAAAATGGGTTGAGACTAACTCTCTTGAATCCCATGAGTTCAAAGGGGGAATTCTACTTGGCACCCAATAACAAACAAGACACCCAAAGTGGGGCATCTTCTTGGAATAACTTGCCAATAATTGCAAAACTGAAAATGGACTGCCTACTTTTTGTCACCCAATATTTTAACCTCAGTTACCATTTGCCTATGGCTAGGGTTGGTTCTAGATTGCACTCAAGGAATTCCATGAATTACCAGCAGCATGAATATTCATAATACAATCACTATGGTTCAGTTTACACAAAATAAATAAAGCCATGATTTCATTGCTCCCCAGCTCATGAAACAGGTATGCCTAGATGTCACATGAAGACCTAATATGTTCAAATCTGTTCTTACACTTCAGAATGATATGCTTAGAAAATGCTAAGGTGAAACCAGAAGCCTTATCAGCACCTCAAGAGAAGATGGTTTCATACACATTCTGAAACGTTTAATAGGCCTATCCGGAGCAGTTTTTGTGCAAAATGCAATAAATCTAACACCTTGTACTTTTCTCAGAGGAAGCTCATCAGCAAAGCAAGTGAACATGTTTAAGCATTCATTAAAAAAAAACGTGCAAATAGAAGGCAAAAATCAATGCATGCTGGAGCAGTACCTTGATGGGACTCTTGTCTCCGTATGGCTTCAATAGCTCCAATTTTGTATTCTCCAGATTCACAAAGACAGTGTAAACCCCATGTTCTGGCTGAGCAACAGTTTCACTGACTTTAGCTCCCATTACATTTTTATACAAAGCCACAGGTTTCTCGAAGTCCTGGCATGCGATGGCAACATGATTCAGCCTCCCGAGCTTCCACACGACATCAGGGATGCCCTTCTTGGTGGGGCATGAAACATGGAAACCCCTTGAGATCACACGAGTACACAGGAAGCACAGGGAAGCAGGAAGCATTTTGATATGAACTCAGGAGGAAATGCTGGGAGCAGTGTCTCTCAAATGATCAGCTGGATCTGGCTCTAGGGAAAGAAGCTTTTCTCGCTCCTTCAAGAGTCTCGGTTTCACCTCTGTGTAGTATTGGATTCCAAACTTGGTTATAGTGTAAACAGCCCACAAGGATGCTCCAACGCAAGTAAGGACAAAGCCCTTATGCAAATGATCAACTATTTTCAAGCCTTTTGGTTTGCGATACATGAGTGACTTCTTTTAGGCTATATATAGGAATGATGGGAAAGGAACTACAAAAAAAGGACCATTTACAAACAGAATTCAGTTCAACAATATGCAAAGATGAGTAAAACCAATAAAACTACAAAACATTAAATGCAAAGACGATTGGCCGAGCCAGCTGGACCCCAACATCTGTACTGAGCTTTGGCATATACCAATCACCTAACATTAGTATATACATGCAGAATCCTCCATTAAATGCCAATCTTCCTGAGCCTGGCCAGACAAATGAATGATAGACAAAAGACCAAAGACAACTGCAATGAAACTCCTCCCCACTAAATTAAACTCATCTGAGTAATCTTGATTAGGCCAATTGCCTGTACATAATTTCAGCAAATGGAAAATGCAGATATGCAATAAAAAATGCAATTAAAATTTTTCAGCTATGGCAAAACCCAAACCCAAGGTCATAGGAGTTTCAAGCATATTTTGCCTTGGCCACTGAACCTTGCTTGGGACAATTTATATTCTCAGTGTACTTTTGGTACCTGTTAAATGTTAATTGAGAGAAATGAAAAATTTTCCGTACCCATTTCAAAATTATATTTGCACATTGCAAAATGTTTACCTTCTCTCCTAGAGAAAAAATAATCCATACTGCTCATATGATTGGGAAATCCCAAATAACCATATTCCATATCTGAGTCCCTCAGTCTTATAGACACAAAATGGTTGTACACCAGTCTCTTCCCTACTTAATTTTCTGCTTAATTTCTAAGTTTCAATGTGACTTCTAAATGATTTTCCCTCATGCATTACTTCATATCTTTCCACTACCTGGTCAATGATTATGCAATGCTGCATCATTAGGAAGGTGTGCAGGATAAATTTTATTTCTATGTTACCAGCCTAATATACAAAACTTCCAACTTCTGAACGCTCTGGGGAATATGTAGCTCAACAGTTTCAATAATTTCCAGCCTTCCACAACTGTCTTCACAATGAGCAGCCCTGTAATGAGCAATGAGTAGGAAATGTGAAACAATTAGCAAAAAGTTAGAGTAATTTTGATATGGGTGCCAAACACAGCCAGTTGTCCCAAGCAATGCACAGGCCTAAGTCATAAGAACCCCTCCAATCCAATTGTCAGCATGCAATGTGCATGCAGATCTCCATGTGTCCATAGATTAACAAGGAAGTTGGGGGTGAGCTGGCTTGACTCTGGGGCACTACTGGGAGGGTAGGCCTAACCTTCCATTAGTTGGAAAAACTACAATTTCCAGGCTGGAGAACTTAGATACATGAAGCATATCAGCAGCTCCTCTCAATCATACCTATTCTATGGGTTTGAACATATTTTGTTGCAAGAAATGATATTCCATTTAGTCAATCCTTTTTTACTTCCCTCAGACCAAAGTGAAAATTCAATAACTTTTTCTGGGAAAGTACATTTTTTAGTCATATCAAAAGGTCTTGAATTTTGCAAGCATTCAAAATATACCTAGAAAATATGAGGTATGGATAATCCTTGGCATATGATTCTCCTTACAAGTAAAAAAATTGATGTACATTTAAATATACACAGAGGGCTTTGCAGGTCCAATGAACTAAAGCAGATTAGTGACTGATCCATATAAAAATTGCTAGTTTTGGAAATTTTTTGAAAAATGCTTCTTGATCCTGCATGTTGGATGTGAGTACAGTTGTCACAGTGAGAGGGTTTGTTATGATGTTTATTGAAAGAACAAGAAGCCAGGAGAATCTCCTTTCATCAAACATTACGTGTAGTAGCAGTTGAAGTGCAATATGTCTCAGTTAGGTAGCCATTCAATTGCCAAGGGAATGTTAGCTAGCTAGGAACTTCATTACTCTCAATGACATTTGATAGTAGCAGGACTACTAATGATGAGATTGTATGTAGAAAGTTCTGCACAGGTGCAGGGGGCAGACCTCATAATGGTAAGATTGATGAAACAATAGCTTAAAATTGAATAAAAATTGCAGAATGAGTGATACAAGCAAATGATTTCAGTAGCTTGAGAAATTGACATGTTTATTACCATTTGCAGCTGAAATGTGGATACTTGCTCACAATTACCCCAACTTGTCCTAAGCATATGGGTGACCATATGTTCCTGTTTCACCAGGACAGTCCCAGTTTTTCAGGCTGTCCTGGTTTTTGACAAAATTGGACCAGTGTCCCTTTTTTTTCTTCCTCTCCTCCTCCTATTTTTGCTTGAAAGCAAGAGCATCATTGCTTCTACGCCACAGTTCATAGCCGAGAAGATTCCCATTTCTGTGTGCTTTGATTGTGACAAACTCTTAGAAATCATTTGTTTCATTGCCTTTGTTGGGAGGGAAATTGATGCAAAGAATGCTCAAGATAAAGAAATTGAAATGGAAAGAGACATTTTGCCATTTCAAAACCAAAAATCTTTCTCACGAGAATTACTGCTGTTGCTCTCTGCCTTCCAGGGACCAATGCACCAGCGGGATGAGTTTTCTCAGCAATGAGTCTCGTGTGGAGCAATGACAAATCTCAGTTGACATAGCAAACAATTAAGGTCTAGCTCTTTGTGAAAATAAATTTTTTTCAACTATAAACAATTTCATGAGAAACTGAGCAGGGAGAGAAATGTCTTAAAACAAATCTATTCTTCTAGTAAATATCAATTTGATTCCGATGCATGTAAAGGCTCAATAAAAGTTTTCCTTGATTGAACTTTTCTTTCCATTCTTGTGTTCCAATTTTTAAAATTGCAAGGACTATCATTTTGGCATTTTCTTGAAAACGTCCCGGTATCCTCGGAAAAAACTCTGGTCACTCTACCCTAGCAGAAAATCCGATGCGAACATTGTGCCAAAGCATATTTTGAATGTTCCCTAGCCCCCACCAAGAGAGTAAATGGGGAGAAAAAAAAGGTTGCAATTTCAGGGAAATCACTCCATATACTCGCGTTTTTAAGGTAAATCAGCCTAACGTTAACCCCTATGCAAATCAATTTAGAGCCCATCTACCCAGGGTAGTCGATGCGCCGGGAGTGCATCTGCTGATTCCTAATAGGCCTAACGTCACTCCAACCTTTCACACCAAAAAGTCATGAAAAGACGATGAAACGAAAATCCCAGGACGTGGAACACCGACCCATGCGACCACAGCACACCGCCATGCTCAAGGTCATCGGGGGCACAGTGTCATGCGCATGCCGGCGGTGGCCCCCCCCCCCCCCGCCAAGGCTTCCTCATTCGGTCGTGGATCACGGAAATACGTGCAGGAGTCGGCGCTACTGCCTGCACGGCACAGGTGCATCTCGGGGATATACCCTTGTGACGAATGAGAAGTCCCAGGTACTATTTTTTTTATGGACATCGCGATGTCCGAGGGCCGTTTGCACAATGTTCGTCTTAAACATCGACGGTCATAGTTCAAACATCGTCTACGAAAATATCATTTAATCGTTGTCTCCTCTCGATTGCGCGAACGATCCCCAAGCCACCTTTTCATGACCGACGAAGGCCAACGCCCTTCGTGGTGTACGACTCGTATCGCGTTCTGACGATCCCGGGGAAACGTCGTCGATGCAGTCGACCCTGAAACGGACTCGTTTCCTGCCGACCCTTTCTTTTCTCAGATTTCTCCACTTCAATTTCCAGGATTCTCCGGTCTGAAATTCTCGACCGATCGGAGAATAACGGTAGGGAGCGAGGGGAAACGAGACGCTTCGCTCTTTTCACGAGAAGCCGCCTGGACGAGATGAATAGGTCTCATTTCCTTGGAGCTAAAGCATATCAAATTCCGGCTCAAATTTCCAATCAGGATTCTGGACGTCAATAATTAACGGGATCGAGAATTTGGACCTCGACTTTTTTCACTTTCCTCGGTGGCAGTCTTCCCGCTGAAAAACTTAACTTCTGTGCGCTCTCGTAAAAATCGATAGAAAATATTTGAGGTCGGAGAGGAGGGAACGCGGGAGACATCTACCGTCGAAGTCATGCATCTGACTTCAAGGTGTCCACGAAGTCACGTTATCCCGCGCTTTCTTCCTACAATGCAATGGAAAACAACTGAAATATGTGGGACAGTGACGATGATTCATCATCGTGTGTTTATTCTCACACGAGGATGATGACAGTCGGATTTCAATCAACAGTGAGAGTGCCATCGCATTCTTTTTTTTTTGCCATCACATTCGTGGCAGAGAATGATCCGTTGCCACGGTTGAGCCACGTTCAACCATGAAAATAACGGTGCTCGCTCCGATTCACTGGACTGTTAGATGCGATTGTCCCTGTGTGAAATTAACGCCTGAAGACGATTTATCATCGTTGTATCGTAGGAAGAAAGCGCGAGGTAACAGGACTTTGTGGTGGTGCTTGCCCGTCTCTCGGGTTCGAATTTTGAAGGGACTACAGCGAGGATAGTTCAATTTACTAAGTAAAAGAAATCCGAAGGGAAGTGAGCGTTTTTCATTCGAGTCCGACGCTCGTGCAATCAGGAACGTCAAGTGAGAAACGCTGCAGATGCTTTTAGAGGACGACGCATGGAGATGGGAAGCAGGCATTGCAGGAGTCGCTAACGAATCCCGGAGAATACTGAACATTTCGATCGGAATTCCCGAATCATGAATGATATTGTCGTGACTAAATACTAAAATTAAAGGTTTTATTTGCACACTGGACGAAATTATGAACTTTTTTTCGCTTCCTGCGCCGAACGGAAAGACTTTCGAGAGGAAAAGCAGCCGAACGAAACGGGACAAGGACGAGAGGATTTCTAGGAATGCGGCCGGATACGCGACGCGTCGTGCCGGGAAGGCGGGGGATGGCTCCAGACGAGCCGAAGGGAGTAGGCGTCGCGTCGGTCATTCGGAGACGGTGGAGGGCGGCTGCCCGAGCGGGATGGGTCGAGTTCCACGTTCGAGTCGTGTCGATGCGAGGCCCAGTGAGGGCTGGATCGAGGGTTTTTCGAGGACGAGTGCCCCGGCGATCGCTAGCACCAAGAACGTCGGGAGATCACGGCGAACATCGAAGTCGTTTTATTGCAAAGCCCAGCGGAACCAACGCGATAACAAGTCCGACCAATATCAATACTATCTGGACAGAAGAAAGGAAGGATGGAAAGATGGAAAGCCCCAAGAATAAAACTCCCAAAATCCGTCAACAAGCTTCAAAATGGATGTGTCTTTCACGAGGGAGGGACTCGAGCGTCAGGACACAGGCACAGGCCTCAGATACGATATCGGCGAAAGCACCTCAGTTGGCAGGTAATGCACACTTTACAATATCTTAGTGGAATCATAAACTTCGCTCAGATATGTTAATTCACATCTATTATATACAGTATATCTTGTTCAAAGGAACAGGTTAAACAAATTCGAAAGTTTCATATTTTGTACTCAGCAAAAAAAAACTCTTTAACCATTCCTGTTCTATACTACTCTGTGGAGTTTGGAACAGGGATGCAGTATGTACATCGAATGAACATGAAATGCATATCTAATCACAAGAATACCGCGAATAATGCCGGCTGCGAGTCCAGACGATTTCCAATGTTTACACGTGAACAATTAATGTTGCTGTCAGTCTTGACTGAAATAAGCCATTGAGGACAAAAATAGAGAGAAAAAAACGGAGTTCAATCCCGTGCTTCACATACAAAAGTCTATCGATCCACAGCACCGATAAAAGGTACACGAGGAGAATTTTGAAAGAGAAGGCATCACGCAATGGACAGTCTCATTCAAATGGACCTACAGAACATCCTATGGGTAATTCCTCAATGTGTGCGGCCACAATTAATCACAGACACACATGACAAGGTGGGGTGACGGTGAGAGGAATCATATCAATATCACATGATACAAAGGAAAAGTCAAAGGTGAACGGATATGGAAAGCACTACCGGCAGTCCAGTGCGTATTCATATCTAGTACCGGCAAGTACCATCGGGCTCACATCATGTCGTCCTCGACTTCGGCCTTGCACTCTGGTAGGAGATTCATGAGGTTGAGGGCAGTGAAGTCCACCGGGAAATCTTCCACGCCAGACGACAGCTCCCGCAACATCTCTTCGTAATCCACTATCATTTCCGTGTTTGCATTCTCGTTCCTGTCGTTGGTGGGGGAGCCCCTGCGAATACAGGGTGAAAGAGAATCCGATCAGCGCCAATGCTTGGCCACGCACACTCCTCATTCAAAATACAAAATATCTCTATGGAAACTAAACAGCAGCCATGCCAGTGAGGATAGAAGATGCATTACCTTCTCTTGAAACTCAACAAGCAAAGAAGAATTACATTTTTGGAAAAAAAAGTAGCAAGCATTGGCACGAGATATCGGACTTCTTCCATCCTGTCCCGCATAACTGCTCCTTGAGAGAGACTTGCAACAAAAACTGCTTGGATTCACAATGCAGATGTCCTTTATTCATTGAAATAGGAGGGGGAAAAGTGGCATATATGAAAATACAGTGGGGAGGGAGAGGGAAAAGAGGATTTGATCTGCCATATCATAAAGGATAACACGTATCACATTCAGATGGAACTTCCATCATCACATCGTATATCTGGATACATAAATGAAAACAGTACAAATTAATAATAAATATATTTCTTGAAACTCATTATGCAAACTCAGAAAATTAAGATCAGGTGATATGAATCAAGTTCACCCAAGGCTTTTGGCATAAGCCGAAAATGCAAGAGACACAAGTAATGATTGTCACACTGATAAAAAAAAATTGGAATGATGAAGACATAAATGGGTATGATGAGCCAGACGATATATATACAATTTAGACTCACATTATGCAGAGGTAAACATATACCAAATAGCCACCAACAATTTTGAGTTGACAATTTACCATCTGGCCCACAACATGTTGCTGAGATTCCACACAAATATTTATTCCAACAAGCATTAACATTAAAATTGGAACGTGACATACATATTAAAGGAAGTTCTCCTTCAGAATTTTTTGACCAATTCTGAGCACTGAATATAACAACTATCCTACTTGAACCACACAGAAGATAACTTTCCAAAAGAATGATCTATAAATTGAGAGCAGAAGACATGCATTGTGAGCATCCAGGGAAGAGGATAGGTGAGATTTTCCCATTTCACAAGCCAAAGTCTGTTCCAAATCTTTCAAATGGCACACTGATAGAAATTACCTCAATGGCAAGTTAAGAATGGAAACTTTTCATCAAAGAAAATTAAAAAATTAACTTTTTTTTTTGGCACCATGGTTCTTTCATATATATGCTAATATAATGTGATGCTCATGATATATGAAATGGAAGCAACAGATAGAAACATATGAAGAAGTCACTCTTAAAAATGAGATGTATTGATGGGTGAGATCATTGACAATGAACTACTTTTGAGAATTTTTGCAGAATATTTACATTCAGGTCTACCACACTCATGACATTTGCAACACAAGGACAAGCACATGTGGATAGTTGCCTAAAGCATCAATGTTGATGTTAGATCTACAATCTTGTCAAAGAAAAGTCATGCTTACTTTCAAACACATCAGGGAAGGAAGTGGCACATAGTACGTGACATAGGTCATAATTCCAGTTACTACACTTTCTCCAGACATAATGGTCCTTTACCTTAATAAGTTCTATCTCTCTATTTTCTGAAATCACAACTCTACGAGCTTGTTTATCCTCATTAATTATATTGAATGGTTATGAAACCAGGCCTTAATTCAGGAGCATAATGTACTGGTATCAGCATTTTGATATATATTGTCCTAAAATATGTAATGTTTTAATGGATTCAATTATCTGTTGCTATTCTATGCAAGATAAATCTACTTGAAGACAGAACCTATTTGCTGAAACCCTGTTTTCTCAAAGGCCACATAATGAGCAAAGAAATTCCTTCATTTCCAATGAGTAGACTGGGAATCACAGAGATGAAAGAGACAGAAATCTACAGTTAAGTAGCATAGTTAAGGACTAGCCTGTGACTGAGGGGGCAGGGAGATCACGTATCACCATAGCTTCTGACGCCAGAGTGAATTATATACAAGACATGTTGAAATTTATACTTGATGTCTACTATTGAAAGAAAAATCTAAATGGTCTTCATTGGTTGGGAATGGAAGGGCATCTTGGTCCTCTTCTCTTGGCAAGAATGATTTATGAAGAAATGATGGTCAAATGAGAATTTTCACACCCTTCACATGCAGTACATGGAAGATGACTGTGAAATGGCCAATATGGCATAAACACATCCAATTTTATAATATGGAACTATGTGATAGGCCGATAGATTTGGTGAAGGAAATGGAAGAAATAATGGCAGAGATTTACCCCTATATAACTGAAACAGAACCATTCATCCAAGAGGAACAACCATTCAATGTTACCCATGTGCACATTCAGAGAGGAGGAGTTCATTTTATTGTTGGCAAGGGTTAATGAGACTTACCTGTCTAATCAAGAGCTGAAACCATGATGGTAAAAGGAGCAACAAATGCCTACATTTTTTTACCTTGTCATTCTCGCAAAATGCATGTCTTCACAAAAGTCTAAAAAAAAAAAGTCTCTAGTTTCACAAGTTATAGATCCAATGACATTCAATTAGCATATTACAAATGCATGGGCAACAAAAGAGTTCCCATCTACATTTCAAAAGGTCCAATACAAAGAAATTTCATGGGATTATCTTAAATGCAGTTTTCCAGGAAAGAGGGATATGGCCTTCATACCACAAGCACAATTGAACACAGTGCTTCTGGCTTAGCATTACAGCATGCTTTTGTCAGATTTCACACATCATCTAAGTCAGTCTTTCTGTTGCTCTGGCACTGCTCCTAGACTTCATGGAGCTATTGTGGTTTCAATGCTACTCTCCATGTTGAGGCCTGATGCCAATATTAAAAGTGAATGTGCCTATGTATGCATATCAAGAACCTTTCACCATTTTCAAAGTTTCAAGAAATTATGTAACATTAGAAATGGTCAGGCTATATGCTTACATATAAACATATTGTGCTCAAGATTTCAGCGATAACAGGCTGGGGACCTTCATGGGCCTAAGCCAGTTTATAATGAGACCACTTCCAAGATTTTGACAATTACATAACAAAGAACTATCATGCTTATGGGAGCTTACCCAACACAATATGACCATTAACTCAATTAGGTTCAATCAGTTTCTCCAATACCTGAAGAAGGTAGGACCAACATTGAACTTCAGCATCTAGACTTTCATATTGGTTGAAAATTACATTTAACAGTGTACATAAATGGATAAGGCAAAACGGGCAAAATAAGGCAAAACGGACCAAAGCAATTTTTTTGAAAATGTCTGTTCAAGAAAATGTAAGGTGAAGAAAAGCTTGATGCATTAGCAAAAGTAATTCACACCCTTGAAAACAATTAAGCTCCTCCTCCTGATTATTTCCTATGCATACAATGTAAATATAATTTGTTTTGCAATATCAAAGCAACTCCATGGAAATTCTTGGCAAACATCTCACAATTTAGTGAAAAGAAAACATATTCAGTAATTTTTTTTTGCAAAGATAAACATTGAAGATATCAATACAGGATTCAAACACGTACAAAATGGACTCTTAACACCCAATAGATACTCTGCCACACAGAAAGACAAAAATTGGAAATATAATAATCAGGTCTTTCATATTCCACTCTAGATCTTGACTAGATTAATACTAAAGGGCAATGTGGGATGGAATCAACATGGTAATCAACTATCAGCTTTTCCAAAAAGAAGTGGAGAAAGGAGCCAATGAAGAATGGGGAATTGAAGAGGCTGAATGGCAGCTCATAGCTGGGTGAACTCCATCTTACATCTTTCATTTAAGGAGAAAAAAAGAAACAAGAAAAGCAATAGCCTTAGCCTTTTCCTTCTTCAAAATGCTATGCAGTCAACTCTTGCCTATCTGAACATCAGTATTCTGGGGCTCCCATCATTTCATACAAGAAGTTGTCCTGATAGAAATTTAATATAAGCTATATTGAGCTACTCTGTACAAATCCCATTAAAAATATATTGAAATACTCTGTAAAATGAGAACAGTTTTTCCATTGCTTCCCTTTACATAGATCAGCTCTGTCTTCTGGGCCATTCTCTGTTAAAAATAAAAAAAATATCTAGCAGAAGAAATGAAACTGTGATGGAGGGAAAGAGTTTCTGGTCTCTTTCCTGCATCTCTACTTCCCCACACCCCAGGAATTAGAAAGAGGTAAAAGAAAAGCTATTATCAACTTATCATGGCCTAAACAAATTGTACTTCCATGCAACTGTGTAAAAGCACTGAGTGATTTACATCCTCATGGGAAAATGAATGATGGAGTTATGCAGTATGAGTGAAGTTTCCTTCATCAAAGAAAAGGGAAAATGAGTGGTCACTAGGTCAGGTTTTGGAAAATCAGAAATGACAAGCAGAGACCAGATGATCCAGACAAAATCACCAGTCCCCTGAAGTTTAGATTAACAAGAAATTGACTGTTAGCACTAGAAATTAGTTTATGGAAAAAAAAATTCAGATTGGGTTCTTTCCAGACAATGCCAAACATCCTTCCGTGAGACTATTGGTCTTTTTGTCCTAGGTGAACATGAACAAAGGCACACCAATTCATTACTGAAGATACCATGCATGGATGTGTCACCAATATAACATAGATTAATATGCATGATTGAGAGATGTGTAAGAGATGCATGATAATTATATTTTCAATAATCTAAACTTGCCACTCAAAAACTGCCAATGGCTACAGTGAGTTTGGATTATGCTTGATCCAACAGAGCTAACAGGAGAATGTGGAAGAAACAAGGACTCACTGGTTGGCTATGTGGTCTGGGGGTGTTCCCTGAGCTTCACGGCGAATGACTCCTTCAGCAGGACTCTGAGGGTATTGATATGACTGTGGGGTTGATGGATAACTGTAACCACCTCCTCCCCCACCATCCTGGTTCCACCTGCCAAATGATCCAGTCTAACATAATGGACCCAACCAAACCACACATTCTGAGCTAAGCCATTATGACCTCATATGCATGAGTCAAGACAAGGGTTCACTAGACTAGTAAGGCTATCGCATATTTACCAATAGTTTTCAAGGCATGCCCATTAGTCATTCTTGAGAATGTGGTTCTTCCATGGGCCAATGGGCATTTGGGTCAAGAAGACTGAGCTTTCCAGCAGGACTCTGCACTGTCCCACGAGGCAAAAATCACTCAAAATTGGTGCTGAGCAAACCTGCCAGGATTTGAATGGCTGCCTTATGCACCTGATCTCAAATTGTTGAATTTTCCCATTCAGAGTATTCTTGAGGCAAAGGCCTTTGCTAAACTACACACACAAAAAAAAAATGGAATCACTCAAGCTTAACAGGCTGCCTGAACTGAAATAGACAACGAAATGCTGTGAAACATTGTTGAAAATTTTTCAAATCTCTTTTAAGTCTTGTATCAAAGCAAAATCAGGGTGTATTGAACTTTTTTGGTTTTTATAGAAAGCTTATGTTCCACTAGATGTTTGTGTAAGGTTTTGTTTCCATTAGATAAGTAGAAAAAATATATAATTGCTTACATTTGCTACATTTCTTTTGAGTCACCCTGTATATCATATATCAATGAAACAGACAGCTGAATTTGGTGAGGACTGACAAAAAAGGGAAAGAGTTCAAGTAATTTTTTTAAATGCCACTGAAATATAATGGGGGGATAGTCAACCATGTAAAGCAGGGAACTATAGCAAAACATTCTTTTGACTAAAATGGAAAGTGGACTCCCCACAGCCACTAGGAGTTATGTTGCCCAGGAAAGGAATGGGAGCTTTGATGCAGCCCCTGCAATGCAGAATCAATTCTTGTATCCCAGCAATCTAAAGCATTATTCAGTATGTATAAGTTTATCAGCAAAATTATTGCTGATAGCAACCTACAGATATCCATATTTTATCATCCAAAATGCGAGGAAATCAGATTGCAGACTGAGTGAAACATACAATTTTAGGAAAGAGGATGAAGTCTGGGTTATAAATGGGCACAAAGCATATAATTCCCCTTGGTGACTGGCATGCATTGCTTGGATTTACCAACATCTGCAATGACATTCATCTAATGGGAAACCCATCACCATACAAGTCTGTCAGTTACTGGCTATACAAGGATGGCACTAGAACCAAGGAGATTCATCCTATATTCCATGAAGTGTTCACATGCATTGAAGTGTCAATGCCAATGTCTTGAAAAGCATTTTTGGGATAATAGAAACAGTGCTGTAAAGAGGGGGAAGGGGGAGAAGAGAGGGTCAGAAGTGGCTCATCCTTAATTAATCCAAAAAAGAAGAGGAAAGAGGAGAATTTTAATCGCCCTTTACCCATCTTGTGTTATCTGAGATGAAATATTTTACTTCTTTAAATATTTATACCCTTGGAATCCAACCAATCAGACATGAGGAACTACTTCTCTCCCCCTAAATGTGGTTCATGCATTTGGACCTGGTTCTTTTGGCTATATGAACTTGGTTGTAATGAGATTCAACCATACAGTGGGTAGTGGGAATGTGGCATCAGGGAAAGGAAAGACCCCCCCACCTCCCCCCCCCCCCCCCCCCCCCCCCCCCAAGAAGCAAATGTAAGGCAAACAACAAAGAGGCCCTTGGCTTGGACCCAGGATAGGGCAAAATGAAGTCATTGTTCTGACTTCTCAGTCCCTCAAATGCAACTTTCTATCACTTAAACCTTGTGTCCAAAAATACTTCTAGTTTACTTTGAAGCACATGAGGGTTGAACCTCATCTGTGCAAATTCTTTATTTTTGACTTGCAAACTAAAATCAGTACATTTTGGTCTAAACTTGATGAGACAAGAGGCTTACTATTGCGAAGTACCGATATGGCACACTTATAATGGATCCAGGATGTGGTGGTGGTGGTGGTTGAGGAGGTGGGGGGGTCTTTCCTTTCCCTGATGCCACATTCCCACTACCCACTGTATGGTTGAATCTCATTACAACCAAGTTCATATAGCCAAAAGAACCAGGTCCAAATGCATGAACCACATTTAGGGGGATAATGGGGCCTTTACGCTAAAGAGCACTTTTCCTCCAATAGGAATCCATGTTAACCTTTCAGCATTCAGGCCTTATTCTTTTACATCAGGTTGTCAGTACAGAATGAGAGGATTGTGCTTCAAGCACTCAATCCACTTTATGACCATGATTGTATGACTTTTTAATCTCATATGTGTGTAGTAGAGGCCCAAGGGATTCTGAGGGTGCTGCAAAACAAACACCATAAACTATAGTATGTAAATGAGTAAGAGCCTCCGTTGTGCATACAAAGCATGCCAGTCAACATCACATAAAAGGAAGCTCAGACAGGATGAATGGAGGAGAAGAGATAGGAGCCCCTTGTCCTATACTTCAATACAAACATTCACCCACATTCATATACCCCCTATCACATACATGTTATTTGCCACATTTGGCTCCTTCCCATAAGACTCAGAGAGAGATTGTACAACTGAGACAGGAAGAGGGGATGGGCTGTGGAACACTGGGACTGGATGGAGATAAGCATTTCCGTTTCTATCTTTCAAAGGAATTGATTTTATTTCCCTCTTGAAAAGAGGAAAATTTTTTACTTTCAGCATACTACGTTTGGGTAAGTACTGGGGCATGAATTTTTCTGTTGAATCAAATTTTGTTCTACAAAAAATTTAAAAGCACAATTTCAGTTACATTCAACTGCATTATGCTGCTTCATTTTAGTATAACAAGTACCAACCAAGATTCAATTGTACATAGACCAGTCCATAAAATTATACATCTTTATGGGTTAGACATAAGAATGGGAATATTCTGAGTAGAGGTGCAAATCCTCTCATTTATGCAAAGAAATGAGGAATATACAGGGTGTCCCATAAGTCCCTTTACACCTGAACTTTTCCTGGTAAAATAGGACAACAAAATGAAACCTATGCAATTAGTTATTTATGTATTTTTAATTTGTGACATTTAATAACACTCATTCAACAATGTAAAGGAGTTTTCATCTCTCATATCTTCCGCCATCTTCACAAATCCTTACTGTAATTCACACGAAAAAAAACTTGAGGGTAAAGGGACTTATGGGACACCCTGTATATGAGATATGAACACAATGGGAATTTTCAAATCAATTTCCAGTAGCTGTCTTCAAATAGAATATACCTCTTTTCAAGTCACCTTTCAAATAAAATGGAGTCAAACCCACCTCTGTGTTGACCAATAGCTTAAAGTAAAATATGAAAAAACAAGTGAAAGGAAAATTTTGCAATTTAAGCATAGATGACAACTTCAGAGAAGGGAACAAGGAGTCCGATGCACCCATAGGCAGCATGATGAAAGACAGTGGGGCAAGAGTTCAAAGCCTTGAAAGATCAACATGGTCTTTGCATTTGGCTATAATTCTGCAGTTTGGGTCTGCTGCTGCTTTGCTAAAGAAATGTCAAGTTGGCACCTCTGAAGTGAAATGTGGAGCTAAGAGGTGTACTTACGAAGGAATGTGAGTGACAAGCATAGGTCGAATGTATCCTGTCTGAGGTTGGTCATCATTGATGGGTGTGTAGTAGCGACCAAATGCGTCGTCCTTGGGAATATTTGGGTAAAGATGTGTTAGACGACTGAGATCATGGATGCGATCAGGAAGACTCCGAATCGTCAGATCCCTATGTGTCCATGGTTGGAAGTGGTCCACATTCAGACCTGTAAAAGACATTCAACTCCATGCATGAGGATTTACTTCATCCTTATATGTTGAAAATTTGCTCAGATCTTGCTGATTCTAAATTCCTATAAATTATCTGCAATTTTCTCACTTGGTCCAGAAGGAGAATCTGTGGCAGTGACTGTGGCAATGCTGATTCCACCAAGTTCAGAGTCTGAATACCGTAGAAGGAAGGTTCCTGGTTGACACTGAAGGAGAATGTCTGTAGTCTGTGCCTTCCCAATGAATCCCAAAATTGACCTGAAGAAAAAACATTCCTTACTCTCTGCTTTAATGCAGAATTTACTATTTGAATCCAATGTATTTCAGACACCCACCCATCATTCCAGAGGGCACGGAGATTCTCTCGTGTGAGCTTCAGGATTCCATAGAACCACTCCCAAAAGGTGAAGTTGCGTTCAGGTAGAGGTTCCTTGCAGAATTGACTCCAACTCAGAGATAGCTGGCTATAATCATTCAGTGAATGATTCCTGAAAATAAATTCATAACAAAATAAGACATTCATGAATGAACGTCACACAAAATCACATGTCTGAACACATAACCATCAGAACATCATACCGAAAGGCCTTCCCAGCCAGGAAGTTGAAATTGTCTTCTGTGAGGGAGCGTCCGCAAACAGACATGAACTTCTTGTTTAGCATATCAGCCACCATTGGCCATGGAACTTTGTCTGGGACAACAAATGGAGCACGACCAGGCTCTGCGTGTGCATTGTCCCAGCTCACAGTGGCCCATGCATGAGGTTCTTGGTTTCCATGAACAATTACAACAACTGGCAAAGAAAGTGTCCACACCTGTAAGAAATTTGCAAGGAAAAAATTAGAATCAGAATATGAACCGAAGGAAACATCCTCTAAGTTGTCCAATGAGCCTTCTTATTAGTCCCATGACAACAGACTACATTCAATGCCTAGTGTGAGATACCAAGAATTAATTAAAATACCCTGGTCTTATTTGCTTTATGAAAACAACTCTTCTTTTTCAAGAAAAAAAAGCTTGGCTCTGGAAATGACAAGTGGACATGATCATTCAATTTCATCTTTTACTTTTACTATCATTAGGACTCCTTAAAATTTTCAAAGTTTGATACATAAATAAAGAGTCATTAGTCCACTGCCTTCCGAGTGCAGTGGCCAACTTTACAACTTCATGATATGACTGAGAAGGAAAGTGACCTATCAATGCTCCAAGATTTTACAATTTTATTTGAACACTAACAGTGTCCCTTTTGCAATCTCACCTGGAAAATTAACACATCCCCACCAATCTTGAAATGAGAGAGGAAGAGAAGGGAGAATTTCTCATCCATCACAGACTCTGTTCCTTTCTTCTCAGCTCGCTTAATCTTCCTCAACTGCATGTTCCTGCACAGGGCATCAAGAAGAGTTCAATAACTATCCCTTCATCAGTTTCCTTTTAATTATCACTTGACACATGTGCAATGAATTCCTGCTATATCACCTGAAATTAATGGCAAGGTGGCGAGTGGTTGGATTATACTCCATAGTTCCGGTGTTGTTGAGGATCTCTCCACTGCTTTCACTTCGAGCTCCCTGGGCCTTATCATCTCGCAGGAGGACCTTAGCCTGTGCTTCACTCACTATTTTCACTGTCACCTATTGCAAAAGTCATCATGACAAGCCAGTCATGAATATACAAATGTTAGGGGATTAATGCCTCTTCATTTTCAGGGTTAATCTATCTTACCTGAGGAGGGGTCATATGAACATTGAGCTTCCCACCAACAAGAAGGCGAACTGTGGCTGTAAATCTAGTATTTGTCTTCATCACCTGAGGTGGCTGTTTCTCAATGATGAATGTGCTGGAAGGAACAAATTACAGTCATTACAGTCACACTTCAAGGATGCGGAATTAGCATGATGACCCTTGAGCATACTCACCTGGTGACAAGTGTGGACAGCAATTTTGTGACTTCATAGTCAAGCTTTTCAATCATGTTCACCTGGTCATTGAGCTGTATTTTCCCCCGTAGCCGCTGGAATTCTTTGATTTGCTGGCGCATGCCCCATATACTCTCTGCCAGTCCTTCACACCTAAAAATTTATTCCCATTATAAAATGAACACTCAGAAGACCAACAATCTCATCAAGAGCATCTCAGGCCTAACCAGGTCTGAATTTGGTCAAGGTTGCGGGTAAATGGAGCTCCGTTTCCAGCCAACTGCTGATCCCTTTTCCATAAGATCAATTCATTCTCCAAGATTCGACTTTGCAGGCTCTGCAAATGGTTGAATGTGTCAAGCTGCTTTTCCACATAGTCCATACGTGCTTTCACCAGTGCAGCCGCCTAAACAAAAAAAACACATTCAACTCATATACATAGGTACACATCCTATAATTCAAACTATCTAGAACAAAAAAACTGGAACCTACCTTTTGCTGGATATTTTTTTCCTTTGCCTCCTTCTGTTTTTGGAGTTGAGGTAAATGCGTCTCCATTCCAGGCTGGCCATCCCGAGTATGAAGGTTACTCAGGGCAGCTGATCAACAGGAAACAAAAGAGCAAAACTCAGGATGAGTACTTTTAGCAAAACTAGAGCACGTATCAGTGGCAGCTCGTGATATTTAGCGCTAGTGGTTCACCTATGGAGAGGGGGTAAGCAGTGCCTTCCCCTGCCTACCCCATCTCCATAGACAGACCACTAGCGCTAAATATCACGAGCCGCCACTGGCATGGATTCTTAAAACAAGAAATCAGGAGCTGACTGTGAATCTTGGTGCATTCATGATACTGGATCTCCAGGTCCTCCTGTTCCCGTTCCATGCGACGCAGATCATCTTGGGTCTCCCTTGTACGTTGTTTCAGCCAATTCAGCTTTTCCAAGATCTCAGACAAAGGATCTTGGCTAACTATGCTCATATCACTAACACCCACCTGATATAAGCATCATCATTCATTATTTCCATTGGTTCAACAATGAGTTCAACATATTCAGGTTAAAACAGACAATAACAGGAGTAACCTGTTCAGCTTGTTGGACTAGCTCATGCTCCAGTCTCAAGCAGTGTTGCACAGTGCGGACCAGGGCCATTGGGTTCTGCACATATCTTTGCTAATGGGGAGAAGACAGTATCAATCCTCAACCATTCTGGTATTCCTCCTTAGATCTTCCAATATATAAATGCAATGGAGCTCACCCTAAATGTGGCAGCCGCTTCAGAAAGCTTGAGTTTCATGACAAAGTTGGCATCATCAGTGGCCATGTATGTCCGTTCCAATTCTTGGATGAGGGCAGTAACCATGGCACTTGCTATTTGCTCATGAGCAGGATTATCTGGATCCAAGTCACTCCTGCAAGATTTCCGGGGAAAATTACTCTCTTTTCCACAATGCATGCCCCAAAAAAACCACACTAGCACAACAATGCAGAGGAGCTTGACTTAAGCTATCCTGAACTTGATGAATAATTATAAGCTTCTCAAGCCAACCCAACCACATGATTGCAGCAGGATCTAAAACCTGATACAACCATCCTGAAAATGCAAATATTCATCATTCTGTCATGTACCAGAGACTGCCCAACCCTCTCATGGAGAGACATGGAGAAACCTCTGGCTAGAATTGCACGAGTTTAAATGAGTGTGTGCCTGTCTGTCCATCTACCTGTTGGACAACTGCATTGGCCAATTTTTCTGGACTCGATCAGATCAGTTTGATTTTTAAAATTCACTGACACCTGACCCAAGAGCCCTATAGTAGTTACACAGTCCAACCCACTGGTCAAGACAATCAGGCTGGTCTGCACTCAATGAGAAACCCTATTGCTAAGTGGACATCACAACTTGATCTGCAGTTTAGGTTCTACCAGCTGGAATGGCCTGTATCTCATCTGGGGACCTTTGCAAAAGTACTCCAGGCTTCTAATGCCAAGAGGTATCATCATACATGCTTGGATGTTGCAAATCTGAGTAACATGTCTCACTCAAATGTTATGAGCTGATAAACACTGAAAATTTTGGTGTTTAGGGAATTTTTGGTACTCAGATGGTAATACACAACTCAAACTTATCCTAAATATGGCTGGGAGAAACTTCAATGCTGTATCACATCTTACTATTATAGTATGAAATTTATTAGCCTTAATTAGGAGAACATGTAAATGTTATGGGTAACACAAGCTAGTGAAATAAGAATAAGCACATTTCTCATTGTGAGATAAACCCCCACATACAAGTCAGTCAATGATTTTAGCAGGACATAATCTAAAGGAAAAGAGTAGCATAACACTTTTCAGAGTCCAATGTTCGCAAATGGAGGTGCAATAGAGGATGGCAAGGGAGCACTGAAACTCAAGAATGAATTTTTTAGGTAAAAGAAAGTGAAGTACAAGGAAGAAATACAGGTCCATAGCAACTAAAGTGCTCACAAACTACTCATTAACACTTATCACTTGAAGACACAGAGCAATGAAGTACTCCCAACATGACCCCCAATTGTTATTTTAAAAAACCTTTGAAAACCAATCTATACTCAAGATACTTGAATTTAGCTTTTTGTACTCTCCAAAAAAACCATAGGAGCTAGGTTCACATCTGCATGCAATTCCCCTGGGGGAAATACAAAGAAGAATATTTTGCATGCTGAGCAGCCAAATATAAGTGAAGAGCCTCAAGGAAAGAGTGAAAACTACCATCATAAATTACACACTCTCATGACCAATACTGTCTGTCTTGTGTTACCCTTAAACATACTATTAACAAGACTTACAGTCAGGCTCCTATTTTGAAGTGTGATCATGCTTGGAAATCAAATCACGCTCATTTTCATTGAAATTTGCTCACACAATGATGAAATAATGAAGGTAAACTAGTCATCAGACTCTGTGCCTCATATAAAATTAGGAATAATGAGATGCATTTCTCAGCCAGTGTCATTCCTTTTTCTCATCCAATAACTCACCATCTTGAAATCCCTTTTGACCTTTCAGAGCAGCACTACATTTATAATACTTTTACTTCAGGACACTGTTGAATCATCAGAATCATTAGAATGCATTAATCGTGCATTATTCACCATTCAACAGATCAGCCCAAGATCCAACATTGATGCCACTGAAACTGCCTCAATTCAAAGTAGTTCACATGGTACTTTCAACAGCGATTTTTTATTACAGATTCAATTTCAGGAAATTGGCATCAAAATTGTGGCTTGGCTTATGACCTTCTGAATGCAACTGTTCTGTAGGATAGACATACTTGAAGTTTTTTACTTATTATCACGATAGTAATTTGTTACATTGCAATTCCTTGCAAGAAATATTTCTATAAAACCAGGCTGGGTAAAGATTGACTTTGGGAAGGCCTTCTCACCAGTTCTGGTCCTCGATCCAGTGTGCCAAATAATGACGAACTTCAATGGGAAAATGCTCAGGCTGATACAGGGTTTGCACCTGACGAAATGCTTCAGCCTGAAATTGCTGCAATTGCTGAGTTTTTGCCCACAGTGACATCGTTGATGGACTTTGGGCCCACTAGGGTCAGATCTTCCCGGAACTTCCACAGAATCCGCAACAGCGAACTCTTATCTGATGCCCGAGACGCGCTCAAGAACGTAAAAAAGGAAGAATCGACGCCGAATCAGGACGTCATCGGAGGGATCAAGCCTCCCGTGGTATGAGGAAGAACCTGAGATGAGGAGATAGGAACGAAGAGAACGGCACAAGAGAACTGAAGAGTCAGAAAATTACCCGTCCTCCTTCTCCCTCCTTCCTCCACCACTTCTCGGAAAAGCTATGACGTGCTCACGGAAGCTCCATCGACCTAGCACCGCCCCTCAACACATCACCCCTAGGAGTTGTTTCATGCTCTTAAATATTCCATAAAGATATGTAAATCAAAATTAACTTATTTTTCCTTATTGATAAAGTATTTTTTGTTACATTCTCATGCGAATTCTCTGGAGAAAAAGGAGCTGAACTTGGCGATATGACTCGCATTTTTCGCAGCACTTCCACCGAGATGGACGTGCACAGCAGCCCGTGTGGATCCACGTGATTCCTATAGCCATTGCGGCTTCGCAATAATAATGCTCGCCGGGAACTCAGGGACTCGAAGTGTGAAACGACTGAACATTTCCTGCGTCAGAGAACTGTGGAGACGACGCATCGGACCGAGTTCCCTCATCAAAACCCGCAATTCCGCTTCCGGATTTTCGCTTGCCGTTCCATCTCGTGTGGGTGAAGCAGAGCCAAAGAAAAGTATTAAAAGTTTTCAATCGGAATTGAGAGAACGTAAGGATGAGGCACGGAGATCATCGCTAATCAGAGTGAATTCTGAAAAGTCTATCGATGATCTCCTAAACGTGTGCAGCCAATATGGGAAACTCAAGAGGGCCCTTTTCATCAGCAGCTATGACAAAGTGAGAGTTTTAGCCTTAATCTCTGTCAGTTTTGCATGAGGAAGCTCCTAGCTCATGAGTCTTTTGTTTTCCTCCAGTCGTCAGTGTTGGTGGAATACGAAAGTCATGAGGGCTTTGAGGCGCTGTCAAAAGCTGCTGTTTTCCCCACAACTTCATCCCCTGTGATGGCATTGCCCTCACATTTTCTCTGGCTTTTGGGAGGGTCCAAAAGTCAGACGGGGAAATCCGAGCCCAAGGCACCATCGCTTCCGATTGAGAAGTTCTTCGTTCCTTCAGAAGTGGAGCTGAGAGAGCGTCTGAAGCCACTTCAGGTTGACCGCATGAGCTGCTTAATTTTCTGCCATATTTTGTGTTCTTTTTTTGCATTGAGTAAATTCCTCTTTTTCTGCTTATTTAGATGTCTGAGCAGATCAAAGAGCTCTTTCAGTACACACGACTGACTGAAGCAGGAGTGAGGCTCAAGTACATGATAGCCTGTCAGTTGGAAGATATTTTGTCATCTTCTTTCATGCCATTGTGTTCAGTGGCACCATTTGGGTCCTCTGTGAATGGGTTTGGGAAACACGGATGCGATACGGACATCGTCATTCGCCCCACATCTGTTGAGGTTCTCCTTATCATTTCTCTAAAATTGAAACACCTTGAGAGCAATAGCTGAATTTTATTGGGAATTTCCCATAGGAGTTTGGTGACCCACAGAGCAGATTGGTCTTTGAGACTAAAGCTGTTCCAGGGAACCAGCGTCTTCAGACACAGCTCTATCTAGAGCTAATAGGGGATTTGCTGGCAAATCATGTGCCTGGTTGCTCAAATATCATCCGCATCCTGCAGGCAAGAGTGCCCATCGTTCGGTTCAATCATGACCTTGCTGGTACCCAATGTGATATCTCTATGGACCCGTGAGTTATTTTTAAAATTCCCAATAGTTTACAGTCATATTGGAGCATATTGGAGTCATATTGGAGCCAATTTTGAAAGCACTAGGCCCTGATTATCATCTGTATGCACTGCATGCAATTCATCTCAGCCAAATTGCATACTAAGGTCAAAACTGTTTTCAGTTAATAGAAGCTGCGATTATACATCCAACATAAGTCTATCTCATAATGGTCTTTTTCTTCATACCAGGATGGGCCATAGGATGTCAGAGCTCCTCTGGCTCTGCACTCAGGTAGATCCCCGAGTGGCTCCACTCGTTTTTGCCGTGAGACGGTGGGCCCAAGGAGTCCAGTTGACAAATCCAGCACCAGGGAGATGGATCTCCAATTTCTCTCTGACACTGTTGGTCATCTTCTTCCTTCAGTCAACTTCCCCTTCCATCTTACCTCGGCTGCACACGCTGGCCAACTGGGCTGCATCGGGTCAGCCGACATTATGAGTATTGCCAAAATGTGTTTTCATGCTCTGTAAAGATCTTTAACCTTATTATTTCAGGCCAGGTATACAGCCTGGATAACAAGGAAGACACTAACGAGTCATCTCTCGGGGAACTATTGCACTATTTCTTTGCCTTCGTGAGGGGCTTTGACTTCCACAACAAGGCCATGTCGGTGTTGCATGCCGACACCATGACCAAGCCAGACTATGCTGCCCTCTATCTGGAGAACCCCCTGGAGCGGCATGCAAATGTCTCCCGCAATGTGAGCCTCGAGGAAGTCCAGCGTCTCCAGGAAGAAGCAGGCGTGGCTCTGTGGAAGCTGGAGACGAAACATGGGATCTTGTTTCACCAGTTGTGTGAGAAGAGCTATAACGAAACCAGTGGGGCCTACTCGTCCACCCACATGCGGAAGCTGGTCTACAACCTTCAGAACCGCATGACGGAGGACCGAAGAGTCAACAAGAGACAATCAAAAGGGAGATATAGGTGACATTAATTTACTGTGATTTTTTCTTGAATGAAGTGCTATTGACTCTCTTCCCCTCTTTCATCTGTTTCACAAGGTGATCATGAAATTCATCAAATTGATGTGTTATTAGCCATTTTCATCTTCCCACTGCCTTTGAACTAATGGAGGTTGATCAAGATGAGGAGGAAGGTAACAATTTATCCTAAACTCACCCAGTAGTGCTCGAACCTTGATTTGTGTTTGCTTCAAGTAGTCAAGGCAAATTTTTGCCAGTAGTATATGAAAGATTGCTCAATGCAGATGATCCATATTCCAAAAAAAAAAAGTGTTCATTTGACAAAGAGAAAGAAAAAAGCAATGATTTCACCCAGACCTAAGTTGTAACCCAACTGATTTTGATTATTAATGGGCCCCTAAGATTCTGGCGTTCGTGAAAGCCAAGAATCCCTGATCGACAAGGGTCATCTTGCCCGTTTGAGGGTTCCCCACCGAGACCGCCAGATCGTCTGCCGAGGAGACAGGCATCCGGTCACCTTTGTGGATGACACTATTTATTATAGCATATGAAAATTGTTTTAAAACGGTGCCTAACTTGAACCTGAGATGTAACAGGAAGTAATAAAAAAATTGTTGCATCATCCATGCCAAAAAAAAACAGCATGCTGATTTACGAAAGCTCCCAATGAGTTCCAAGTTTCCCTCAAAGATGGGTCACGCACTTCTACGGCGTGAAGACGACCCAAGCACAGATACATTTTGATATTTCGAATATTATACATTTCGACACCATTTTTTTTTACAAATAAAATATCAGATCTGCACGGGATTACACCAGAAGTATCACCTGCAGAACCCCACAAATTAAATAATTTAATCATGACCTCACCCACCCTTCCCTCATTAATATTATTATTAAAGCGGGAATAATGATATTCTCTGTACCATTTATGAAATGCAGTAAGGTACCATCCCTCAAAACTTTCCTCGGATTAAGGACTCATGAGTTCAGCCGTGTCAATGATTCACCCGGGGCTCGGACTCGTCTCCAACATTTAGATGGAAAGGGATTAGGTATTAAGCTAAGCTATGCCGAGTCCTTGCAGGAGTAAACCACCCCAACGTAATGCATATTTGCATTTCAATAAAATGACATTACAAAATACCATTACATTGAAAGGCTATTTTGCCGTCATCGGCGACTGTCTCTCGGCCACCGAAAAAAAAACCTTGGTTCCACTCGGCAGAGCCGGAAACAGACAGGGAAAATGAAAGGCGTTAAAACGGAATGCGGAGAGGTAATGATGCGGGACTTTTCCTCTGGTTTCCTCCGTCCGATTTCAACGCTTCGAGAACCGATAAATTGCGCAATTTATTCTCGCTATCCGTGCGTTTCCGCACGGTCCGGTGCAGCGTCGAAGTCCTCTTGGCATCGCTGCAAAATAAATAATAAAATAATTATTTAATTAATTACATGAGACAGGCGATTATCGCAAAGCCGAAAGCTACACGTTGAGTTTTTTTTTT